GACTCTCCTTGAGTCACCGGCCAATTGTCTGCTCTCCTGTTGATGCTCAATTCATCACTTGCCCCTTTTTAACGACATTTCGATTTTACAATGTCTCCCAGGGGGCCTATTCAGTAGACTGAATTGCTGAGTATACTGCATCGGAGGACTACCTGCACGGGGTACTCATTCCGCACTGGCCTCGCCTGCATTTTAGCCTTAACCTTTGCCGCCGTGCTGGCCTGAGCGGCCACACCCTATCTGTCACATCATCTGACCATCAAAATCTGCTGTGCCAGTGCCGATTGTTTTGTTTATATGAAGTCCCTTGAAGTCGTGGGAACGCCATCAGTCCTGTCGACCAGAACGCCCAAGCTAGCAGGTCAATGCTGCACAAACCTGACCAACTTTAATGCATTGTAAGCGCAGGGCATCACTGGTTTTACGGTAATCATTGACGTTGTAGTCCTCTGACATGCCTATTTTATTCATAGGTGATTGTATTTCCCAGCTATGCCTGATAACCTTTTTCTGGTCCAAAGATCTTGAAACTACCTTAAACGAACCCAACTGTAAATGCGTATATTGGCTCGGAGTGTCATCGTTTCTGCTGCTTATGGCCCACGTAAAGCTTGAAAGCACGCGGCCTCGCTGACGAAGTTGTAATACCCAGATCTACGTTGATTTACTTAGCTGGAAAGAAACCTTGAGCTTGTCCGCTGTAGATCTTCCTCTCGTTATTCGCACGTTTGTTCAGCCGTTTTAAGTTCCTTATGATATTGTTGTCATATGTTGACAACCTGCTCAAGTCAGCATGCGTTAGACCTGCGTTTTCACCCTAATTCGAATGTTAAAGATTAGCATGTTTTCTATCGTTCCTCCTCATGCTGCGAAGCATTTATAAATTGTATGCGCCCTTCATTGTCTGATCGTGCTGCGTACGACCCTATCTAAACCCGGTGTTCTGTGGGGAGATTATGTACAGGCTTACGCATTTTTCCCTTTATAGAGAGAGACAGAGAGTGCGTTTGTGTGCCTTTCGAGCTAATAAATATTTTCCAGTAGCAAAAATGCCTTCTCCCTGTGCTGCCCTGGCCTGGATACAAGAGCGTGCTGCCTTGACCTAGGGTGCAACTGGTCGTGTTTTTAGAAATCTAAATCTGCCACGCAAGCGAAGCCACTAGCGTTCGATGAAGGCTTGTGGACTAGACTTGCCTAATTACAGTATAGCGAGTGCTGCAGGCAACATTCCGCAATTTGAAAAATACCGGTAATCAGTTGCAAGCCAACGCTGAGTAGGGTTGCAATACTGTTTATCATGCAATCAAAATTTCAATTATTTTCAGTCACGCTAGGATGCCGACTCTGTGATAAGCTTCTTTCTGACCGCTGCGAAAAAGTTGATCCTGTAAAAGTGGCTACTTAAATAGTATGCATTTTTATCATTGATTTTAACTGCTTTTTAAATTTTAAATATATTTTATGGAAAGCATGCACGAAGAAATCCTCTCTTGTACTAATTTGATAGCAAATTACGCCTTCTTTAAATTTTATTCTTAAATGAAGGGTTTCCTTCGATTTAAAAAAATTCTGATTTTGAGTTTTCTGACGACTGTGCGGTGTTCATTCGTAATACATCGTATCCCTCAATTTCTTAATTCCGACCCTGATATCTACAGCATGATCCATGTCTATTGCGAAATTCTATGAGAGCTATGCAACCAATTCCTCAAACCGTAGGCAAGAACGTACTTTTCCTTAAACAGGATGAACACAGCATTCAGTTTGTAAAACTTGAATTCAGTTCTAGCAGTCGGTAGGTTTCAAAATCATTCGGCAATTTAGAAACTTTTTTAAAACCGATGAAAACCCTTCCTTTAAGAATAAAATTTAAAGAAGGCATATTTTGCTATCAAATTAGTACAAGAGAGGATTTTTGCGTGCATGCTTTCCATAAAATATATTTGAATTTATAAAGGCAATCAAAATCAATGTAAATTTCATACTATTTAAGTAGCCATTATTTTACAGAATCAACTTTTTCGCAGCGGTCAGAAAGAAGCTTATCACAGAGTCGGCATCCTAGCTTGACTGAAAAGAATTGAAATTGGACTACATGATACACAGTATTGCAACCCTACCCAATGTTGGTTTGCAAGGGATTACTGGTCTTTTTCAAATTGTGGAATGTTGCTTGCAGCACTCGCCATGCTGTATGTTTATCTGTTCTTCGCGTGTCTGTTTTACACATGTTTTTGTTAGACTTCCGGACGTGTTGTGCTATGGACTCAAGTTCTGCACGGTCGCTATCGTCTCTTGAATGTCACAGAGGCTTTTGTATGTGCATATGGACTTTTAGTCTTACGGATCACATTTAATACACACACGACACCTGGGTCCATTCAAAGGTAAGAGACGAGAATAGGAACCCGAGCAGAAGTGAACTTGCCCTAAATTCAAGGAGATTTAGATTAGAGTTAAAGTAGGGTTGGTGTTGGGGTTAGCACACTGATGTAGATACCCTTCTTGGAATGTGGCGCAAGACCACCGATATTACGGGGTTGTTTCTATTCTCGTATCTTACCCTTTTAGGAAAACGCTGCTAGGGTATGTCTCTCTCTTCCTCTCAGCCTCGCGATCTCATGAAGTTAACCACACTTCCCTCTGTTTACTTTCAGCCATTGACCTGCTTGATCGTATGCTGGCTTTCAATCCTTCTACACGTATCACCGTTGAGGAAGCTTTGCAGCATCCCTATCTGGCGTCCTTCTACGACCCTAAAGATGAGGTAAAGCTGCATGTGTTCATGTCTCCAGGACTGTTTTTGGATCAGTTTGAAGCGTTCGTCCAATTGTTTTACCTCTTGCACAAGCATTTTGGTCTCCGATTTCCATCCACCTGTCGAATTTCGTAGATGGCCGTCGGACCCCCAGATCTTAAAATATGATATAATGACTGCTGGCGTTTGCATCGAACTCGTAGTCTACAGACGTCAATCAACGCGAATTTGGCCTCTCCCGGCCTGTTTCAGGCCAATTTAGCACATAAGATAAAAGCTTCTGGATTAAAGAGAAGGCTTGTCGAGCATCGAAGAAATTTGTTTTTTGTCCTCAGCTTTCAAACTCTTATGCCTATTCGTTCGGCCTCGGAAAACCCAAACAGAAGCATCACTGAGGATGTAACACGCCCTGCCATACATCAAGGACGTCTCAAAAGGAACTGAGCCCATCGCTGCGGGACTAGGTGTTGGATTTGCACACCGACCCGAAGCTACCATGTGCAGCAGGGTGATGAAAACCAAATGCCGGCTTAATCTCAATGAGCTATCTGGGAGTATTGTATCGCATCCCATACCTAAGGTCAAACTGAACGCATACTCGGATCGCGCATACGTGAACATAAGCTGGCTGTATGGCAGGACGACGAATTATCGCAAGTTGCTGCTTACATCTATTCAACGGGCCATAAGTTCAACTTCGCAGCCGTCAATACATTCGCTCACGCCGGAAAACGAACCAAGAATTGATTTAAGCGTTGTCCAGGGATGGGAATACAATTATGGATTTGGCGCCGGCGTACAGAGCTCTGCACAGTCATATCCAGACGTGCGTCACTGACCGTTGAGTGCTGTATATCCCTATAATTGTCCCCTTTTTGTTGCTCTGACGATGAGCTCCTGTACGAGTTTGAAAACGCAGGACAATAAACCAGTTGTTCCGGTGCTCGACAGGCTTCGTCTTTTACCCATTCAACCACCAGGAACGCGAGCTTTTTCATTCATTCATAAAAACTTTTAGTCTCTTGATTGTTTTCGCTATTCTCACTTTTGTTTGGCGTCATCCCCGCATGTGCACCTAAATTTATTTGCATCTGTCAGTTGAGGGCTTCCCAGCACGTCCGCAGTTTGCCTTTGCTGTGGGTCGTGTTAGTGGGGAAGGAAATAAGTTAGCAATTCAGAACAGTCGTTGTCTGTGTCATTGTTTCATTACGGCGTTTAGTCCAAACTGGTACATGTTCGTAAAGCCGTGGACGGTATTTCCCTGTTGATCCAGCCCCTTTCCTGCTGCAGGTTCATTCAACTACGAATCACTACCTTCTATTCCAGTCAGTCGAGCACATAGCTCTATGGGAAGTCGCGCCAGCTGGTATGCCAGTCATGCAGACCTCGAGTCAGCAGGGCAAGTGATACGTGTGTGTTCACTTGTTGAGTTTACTTCCTTGGCAGTCGGGATCAGAGGGTTTGGCATTAGGTCCACGAACACATGGCCAACCCCTGTCCGTCGACGGGAAAGGAGAGCGAAATCAACGGTTTATGTTCTTAGCCGCGTCTTTAGCCATACCTGAGAACTTAGTCAAGCAGAAAAAATCGGCGAACAGAGTGTTATTACTATCAATAGGCTTCTTCCATGCGATGAATATCTCAGCGCGCGAACTATGTCCCCAAGTGGATTATCTCAATTTAGGCCTCGTGTACTCGCAGTTTGGTCTTCTGACTAATATTGAACCGACTGTCTCCCCTCCAACTTCGATCTCTACAAGTTGGACGAGAACTGTCCTCAAACACATTGCAGCAACCCGGAAAAAAGGACATGAGGCCCGATATCTCCGCAACATATTTATACAAAATGGCTATTCGACGTCGTTCGTAAGCCGATGTCTGTGTTTCGCACCTAGAGAACCCTACCGGAAGCAGCGTCTATGTTATAGCATCATCTGCTATACAACAAGGGTGTGTCAGGGACGACCGAACCCATTGTTGTGTCACTGAGTGTTGGAATCGAACACGTACCTAAAGTTACCATGCGTTGCAAGGTCTTGAAAACCAAGGGCCGATTAAATCCCACTGAAAAGTCGAAATTTGCGTATCTTATCCCATGTCTAAACTGCCCTTGTACTTATACGGGTCGGACCGAATGCGTGCTGGGACCACGCATACACACTGTTCGACCGGGTGACACATTATCCTAAGTGGCTGCCTGTACCTTCGAAACGGGTCATAAGTTAAACTTCGCTGCCACAAAGATAATCGCTCACACCGGAAACAGGTTGGGCCGGGACTTGATTGAAGCCTCGATTGGGAATGAAGGTATCGATGTGGCGCCTCCCTACAGAGCCCTGCGCAGCCAACCCCGACCTGCGTCGCTGGTGTCGGTTGGAGTTATGTCCCAAATAACTGTTGCTTGTTCTGTTGCCGCTTTTGTCTTTGATGCTGGACTCCTGCACCAGGTTGAAAGCTCTGAAAAATAAACAAATGGATCCTACGCTCAAAAAATTTTCTTCTGCCCCTTCCATGCATACATGTGGAATTAAAACATTAACTTCACCCATAATCTTTAACCCCCAGAGGCCGTTTTTCAAAGCGGAGCAGTGACGTTTCACGTGTCAGCGCCTCCGCCGACATTTTTGTTATCATAGCAAATTCACGTTTCTTTAACTTAGAATCTCAGTATTGCAAAATCTCTTCCAGGAATACATCCCTTGTTTAAGGGGGGGGGAGAAATTTGCACGGAAATCACAACTTATCGTCTGCCAAATTTCAAAGACATGTTAGTTCCCGACGCACGTAATCACCAAAGACACATTTAACTCATTCAAAACAAAAACTCGTTGGTTAAAGCCGTATATCACAACATCTGTGGAAATTCTCAGTGTAGTTTACTTTTACAATATTTGAATCTCTGTAGGAATTTCGTTTTCCACCGAATTTAAAAGTCACTTTGTCGCGGCATGACTTGCGCCTTTTTCATTTTTTTATTTTAAGCCTGTGGCCGATCGTCCATTCGAGTTTGAGGAGGAGCTGGATAACGTCCCAATCCCCGTGCTCAAAGAGCGAATGCTGAAGGAAGTAAATGAGTTTCGTAAGGAGGCAGGCCTTTAAACTTTCGGAGGGGATTCGCCCGTTACTCCGTCCTTTTCCATGCCAGTCCCCTGCGC